TATACGCTTATTTTTTGTAAGTACATACACGTTCATTAACAGTTTGTTTTATTTTAATCTGAATCCCTCTAAATATGTTTCAATTAAAAAACTTATTTTCTACTAATGAAAATTGAAAATGATGTGGAATCCAATTACAGATATCCTTTGGACGTCCTTAGGATGTTCTTGTACTGTTTGAGAATTTAGTTTTTGTTCTGCTTCCATAAAGTTAATATGAGGGATCTACACTGAACCAAATTTGAAGTACATATTTTTAATAGTTTTTGAGGCTGTTAATCGAATTGATCAACAACACAACAACTGTATTCCACTTTCATCCTTTGAATAACAGGTTCTTAGGAATCTCTTTAAAGGAAATGCCTTTTGCCTGGCTAGACGAGAGGCATCCTTCTGAAAGTTTATGGCAATGTCGCTGATTTCAAAATATTAATTTTACTATCACTTTCTATAGTAGGTAATTTCAAAAATAGCATTTTTTGACAAGCTCTATTTTAAGGTTCTGTGGCAAAATACAATTTTATAACAAGATTCCTAATTTTGTCTTCATAATAATTATTATAAACTGCAGTTGTAACAACTAGTACGTTTCTATAAAAGATGTGAAGAAATTTACAAAATTTTACAAAATATTTTACGTCTTATAGTCAAAGAAAAATGTTTCTTTCACCTACGCCTCTGTTCCTTGGGCATCCGTTAACCTTATTTGCATATAAATTATATCACCTGACCCATGTCCGCCGATGCTGATTCCGCCTTAACTAATGGTCAGATCGATTTAACATAAGCTTCAACAAATAGATCTATACTCACTGGAAACGGACAATAATTTGCTTCGGATTAATGCATGTTGAAGACAGCTAAGTCGCTGTCAGAATTTGCGATTAATTCTGGCTAGGCATTATTGACATTAGAAGCGCTATTAGGATTCGACTCTACAATATACATTAAGGATACAGGGAATAGGTTGTATTGTTATTGTAAAGGAGCTACGTATGTGTAGCGAATCTATTATTGTTAAACAATTGGAGAAAGTAAAATACAAAGTAAAATAAAATAATAAATCAATAAACAAGATTAACCATCTGTTACTTCTAAACAAATCCTATGAAAATATGCCTTAAGCGACCTAGCTTCCAAGTTACAGGGCGTTAAATTAAAATGTATCTAAATAAATAAATAATCTGTTCACTAAATTAAAAGATAAAGATCTGCTATTGCAGCGGTCCAGTGTAGTTTATTGCATCCCATGTATGGATTGTGATTTGAAATATATAGGTCAAAAAAAACAAAAACTAAAAGATAGAGTTACAACACATAAAAGTGACATACGACTGAATAAACACAGTTGCATATTGGCAAATCATTGTTTATCCTCAGGTCACAGTATGAATTATGACGAAATTTTAGTATTAGATTCAGAAACAAACCATAAAAATAAGAAAATTTTTAGAGATGTGTCATATTGCAAGGGAAGGCAATCCAATGAATGTAATGACTGATATCGATGGTCCCAGCGTAATTTATACCTTTTTATTAAATCAATATTTTAATAACAGGGACAGTCGTTCAGGTGACACCCTGTATAGTGGTATGTGACCCTTGTTGATATTTTTGTTTCATAATCTAACTAATTAACAGTTTAAAAATTTTTGGTAGAGTTTCCCCGTTCTCCGCAGAAGTATTAAGGGAACAAAAACTTTAATATTTTGTATGTAGCAGAAACCTGAACATATAGGTAGTTTGAAAACCAATCCTTAAAGTTTCATTAGAAAAACAAGCATTTTGACTTTGAGAACAGCAATTTTCGAATAAATTGGAAAAGAAATAGCGATAAATGTTGTGAAATTAAAATTCTTATACTTAATCGAGTTGGAGGCTCTAAAATATTAAATCAACCCTACCGTTTTCGCGTTTGCTGCCTAGTAAACCAGTCACATTGTTTCATAAATTGATAATTACTTTATAATAACTCACTTAACAAATTCAGAAATGGCAGAAACGTATTTTGTTTCCGACATTCCTGACGATAACCTAGTCACCTAGTCGAAGCAAATATCCATTAGTTGCTCCATTAAACTGGAACTTTTGCGAAATGTTCTGATGATATTGGATGCTTTATTTAATGTACGCAATCAAACAATTTTATAAATTATGAAATATTATCATCAGTTTTGTCCATACCATATTCAAACAACGCATTATTGTCAGATTTTGTTCGACGGGTGCTTTACAAAACAGTTGAGGAAGTTTTGTTTCTAAATGGGATTCTTTTCCTGACGGGTCCAATTATTTCTCCCATAACTCCATACAGAATTTTCACCACAACCATCAATGAGTATATGATAAACCTCACGACAAAAAAATTAATAATCAATATCAATTTTCATTATACGCTTGGATGGGTATTATTAGAGATTAGCGTTCGGCCGTTATTTTCTTGATTACAATAATAATTATTAAATGGAAATACAAACGTGACCTTTCTAAATATCAACTGCCCATGTAATAATAAAAGAATCACGTTAACACTGCCGGTATTTTTTAACGTTTACATCAGTCGATGAAAGGAAGAGTCGAGACCCATGTTAGTGTTAATGGTGGACACTCAACATTTAATGCAATGAAATTTGAAAACTTAAAAATACATTGTACCGTCACTAAACACTGAAAAAATTTACTTTATAAACTAAATACTTCAATTTTAAATGGAAATATTAATAAATAAGATACGACAATCAGTTCATTGTTTACTTCACTTCACAATAAGTACAAATAACTCCTTGATATATTTACAGTAGATACAGATATATCTAGTTTCTTATTGTAGTCTGAGGTACTGGTATAAAATAATTGTTACATTCAAGAAAATATGTTTTCAATAATAGCCAATATGTACGAGGTCTATTCAGAAAATAACCAAACTATATTTTTTTAAACTTCGTTATTAATTTTATACATTATTGATTCTTGTCCCCTTCAAAATATTTCCCTCCCCTATTCATCCCCTATTCACACACTTTTCCTAGCAGTGTCCCATCAATAGTCTGAAATCTGATTTATGGCACAAAGCTGAGTGTATGATCGCATTGTCATGGTGCAAAAACCATGAGTCGTCTCGCCACAACTCTGGTCCCTTTTTGCAGATTTTTTCACGTAACCATTGCTAAACGCCTTGATAGTACACGCAGTTCACTGTTTCATCTCGAGGCATGAATTCAAAATGCATAATTCAGTGATCATTACTTTGACATACGATCGAGACCGATGTGCTTTCTTGGTGCATAGAGATCCTTTGCCAATCCATTGTGATTATTGAACTTTTGTCTCAATGTAATCGTAAACCCTGCTTTATTCTCCCTTTATGATGCTTTGAATGAATATTTCATTGTCATTGGATTGTTCAAGCAGTTACCAACAACGCCCACACTATTTCCTTTCTGTTGTTCGGTCATCAAACGAAGAACAAATTTTTCTGCAACTCGATGCATGTTCAATTTTTCAGTCAAAATTTCATAACATGACGCAATTGAGACGCTAACCTCTTCTGCAATTTCTCTGATAGTCAATCGGTGATTTGCACGCACCAAGTCTTTTTACTTTTTGAACGTTGGAGTCATCAGTTGAAGTCGAGGGCCTTCCTGGTCGAGGATCATCTTCAACTGATTGACAACCGCTTTTAAATCGTGAAAACCGTTCGTAACATTGCATACGACTCAAAGTATCATCTCCGTAACCTTGTTTCAAAAGTTGAAACGTTTCCGTGAAAATTTTCCTCAGTTTCAACAAATTTCAACGTTGCTTGGTTCCTGAAAACCGCATATTTCAAAAATCGTCACTAACACATAAATATGTTGCATTCAAATAACAATATCACAAAAACTGAAAGAGATATCAACAATTCAAGAACATGATTGTAGTTAAAGAAGAGGTTATGCTCAACGCAATGCAGTCAGCCGCATATCATTAAGTATCTCCATTAGCGCGCCATTCAAAAACTTGATAATAACGCAATTGGGAGTTAAAATATTATACTACCTTCTCCATGCTTCATTGAGTAATAATTTTTTTTATAGAATAACGCTCAGACGTTTTTAAAATTAACATTATTCTAATGATATAATAATACCTTACTGAATAAATTAAATGTAGTCCGAGATAAACATTAATATTACGTGCATTGAATAATTTTTTAAGCTGAAAATGTTACCTAAGGAAAGTAAATAATGAGGGAGATGATAAAGTTAACATTTACTTCTTACATTGGCATAAATCCGTTCCAGAATAGATTTAATTTAAAATGAAAGTAAAGCTATGTTATTTTTCGAATCCATTTTCAGTAGAAATTTAGCATTTTGGCAAAGTATCGTTTTCCTCCTATGTTGAAAACATTTATTAGAAAAAGTTGCAAAATTTATACCCATTTTCTAAATTTTGAAAACACTCGAACTAATATGTAAAGCACCTTGTAAAAACAATGTATGCCAATTATTTGCAAATTTGACGCATAGTCGTAAGTTTCATACAGGAATAGGACCGACAAGCCCATTTCCGGGCTTTTGGTGTGTTTTTTTTTTAATTATGATTCCCCAAAACAATAAAATTCTACTTTAAAACATTTTTCTCTCCTGTTGTTAAATAATCTAAAGACAGGCAATATATTTCATTGAATGTGCTGAAAATTTGTATATTTATTAAAAATTGCTAAATTAATCATTTTGTAAATGCGGTCACAATAAAACCAATAACAAGTATATGTAATTCTTAGTAACTTTTAATTCATTGTTAATAAATCTGTCTACAAAACAAGATAAATATTACTTTGATCGAGATACCGCTAAGATAGTTAGGTATTACAATATAAATAAATGGTGTTTTGAGATCATAAGATAAATTTATTACATACACCGTGGAGCACATTTTTTTTAAGTGATATTTTGACTTCTAAAAAAGTAATAAAATCAGTATTTCTAACTTTAATAAAATAATAGTTACAATTATTCAGTTAATTAAATTTAGTCTGATTCTAATTATTTGTATTAATAAACTTTATCTATAATTTCTCTGAACCAAGTAATAGCTAGTTAGACTTAAATTGGATATCCAATTTATCATTCATAATACCACATCTGGTTGCGATGTCATTTGTTTTAAAATATGCCATACTGGAAAATCTCCAAGTGAGCCACTTATCAGTCTGAGAAATTTCTATTTTTACTTGATTTGCAAGAAGATTCATGCCTCCAATAAAATGAATCTAATCATAGTACCACTTCAGCTTTTCTGCTTATCACCAACCTTACTTTCATGTACTTCTGCCTCTGTAACTTCCAGTTATTAAACGATTGGAAACTGATTGCGGCACGGGGTTATCTTGAATATCTTTCCACAATGACCTAATTCCACTTTCGCTCATATCGGCCCGTCCGAACAGAAAGGGCCTGCATTTATCTGGATGTAGAATTTCCATAAGAGAAAGTGTTAGAGGAGATATGTCAGTATGAATGATAGAATCTAATTTAGATACAAGTACACCAGTAACAAATACGTCATCAACCCAGAAAAACCTTGTGCGCTGTGCTTCTGCATATATTCGAAGAACTACATCCGGTGAGTAAAGAATACACCATCCAAGGCAGAATGGTGGATAAAATTTTTCTTTGTATTCCTCACGGGTGACCCTCCATTTGGTTCGGTAACTTCTTAACGCCTTATAATTTCGAACGACATTGCACATAAGTAGATTTGTTGCACCATAAGGTGACAAATCTCTAATTAGAAAATTTTTTAATGTAGGCAAATTAACACATACATCGTCATCGACTTTGAGAATATATTTCGCTTGAGAGCAGTGATAAATTACATATTTAAGACCCATCAGGTGTTTGTATGTCAAATTCTTATACGAGTCTAAAAAATTTCCTCGTAATAAATCGTTATGTGCGTAATTTTCCTGTTGTAATGTTTTTTCTATCTTGATATCATCAGTTGTTCCAAGAAGAAAAAGAATCTTAACGTTTTCTTCACTTTTTCCCCAAGTTTCTCTTATAACTATTCGTTTTGCAAAGTTTTTCGGGGCACTGTGAACTAAAATAAGCAATAGTGGTGTTGTATTTTCACATATCAAATTAAAGGTTGTAAACGTAAAATTTATGTTTACAAGAGTTTTATAATCTACCTCTGGGAGCAGATCACCACCAGGTAAAGGATGTGAATTACTTTTTCGTAACAAGTAAGTAACATTTTCGTAACTATTAATATCGAATGTGATACTACAATGGTATAGGTGTAGTATATTGATCGTAACAAATGCAATTCCCAGTATTCCAAGCGCTAAAATAGGAATCTTCACCACCAGCTTTAATCTCACTTGCCTCATTCTTAAGTATACCATATCTAGAAAAATTAAATAATAGTTATACCAAGTGTTTGCCATATGAGGTATCAATTCAATATTCTATGTATTATCTAGATAGGATGAGGATACAAATTCATATTCTATTGTCACATCCGATTTCAACAAAGATGCCATCAGCTATTGGCACCAACTCTGTATATTTTTATATAGCAGTGAATTAGACAAGGTGTTAGTAATTAACAGGCAACCAGTTCTTCGTGGAACAAATTACTCTAATAATTTCATTAATTTTAGAGCCATGTGGCTGCAATCGTAAGAAAAGTTCTATGTATACTTATGCAAAAAAATATAAGATATTTCGATTAAATTTTTAAGATTCACAGCAGTTTCCGTGAAAGTGATAGTTATAATGGAAATTTGGACAGTTCTAAATAAGCTTAATCAACATGAATTTCATTTCAAATTTCAGAAATAATTTTCCCGACATTGTAGAATTCGAATTTTAAATTATTTTACATTGAACCATGATACAACCAAATCCATTAAATGAAACATTAATATTTCTATGTACATTTCAGATCATATCGCAATTATCTGAATGACGGCCATAAAATTTGTCTTTAAAGGCACTATTGACACCATAAACAATATTTTATAAAACGCCTACTGACCATTAAGATAACCACCTTCAACATTTATTTATTCTGCTCAGTGAACTGTAACATATTTTTCAATATCTTATTTAAAAGGAATTGACGACATTAAAAAAGATATTTCTATATTTAAAATAATTGCTTTGTGCTCAAAAAGGAACGGCCAAGAGGTTGTTTTAACTTATTTTGCCTGACTTACATCACATTGAGCAAGAAAATACATAAATGATAGATTATAACACATCTTTATGTTTTAAATACTTATAATTGAAATATACTTTGCCTATAATCGCAAATTAAAAGTATTTTTTTAACTCACCTCAATTATCACCCACCCGTCGACGTTACACCACAAATAATTTCTACAAACGTTGAAGCCATTTCAACTACCTACAACATTATCAGTTTTATCAAGGAGATAAGACCTGTATGTCTTTAGTTGTTCGATAAAATAGCTTAATATCAACGAATAAAAAAAATATGTATTTTCAACAGAGAAAAAGGTTATTAAGTGTTTTTAATTTACAGTGTGGTTAAAATACCTAAAAAATAGAAATACAACTTTAGAAATGCCATAAATAAATAATTTCTTTGATTCTGTACCTCTAAAAATAAAGGAAGACTTATTACGCATATTATGCTAGTAGAAGGCTCATATACCTATACAGGGTGTTTTACAAGCTCTATGACAAACTTTGACATATGATGGATGGCTTAACTTCAAACATTTTTTCTTATATTAACATAGGTCCGATTCGTAAGTTACAAGTATTTCAAAAAATACGATTACATATTTCAATCAAAGTAGCCTGATGTAGTAAGGATGGCTGTGCAGTAAGGATGGTTACTATAACAATAATTATTATTTGTGTCATTTTGTTTATTCATTTGACAGTTTTTGCGTTAAAGTGGTAAATAAAAAATGCATTTATTTACAACTGAAGGGTATGCAAATATTGTCTTTGTGTATGGGTATTCCAACCGGAACGTCAGACAAGCAGCCCGAGAATACCGACGAAGATACCCAAATAGGCATCAACCTGTCCACATAGTCTTTAGTGCATCATTTCGTAGACTTCGAAAATAAGGTAACCGCGCTCTAAATGTGGCCATTCGTCCTACTAAAGTACAATGTACAAAATGAAGAAGCTATAATAGGCTGTCATTGACAACTCTTCAATTAGTGTTCGGCGTATAGCAAGTAATCTTCATTTATCACCGAATTTTGTATGGCGTGTATTGAACAGACATTTCCTCGTCAAAATGTGGAGTTGCTCCTCAACGATTAGAATTTTGTCGCTGGTTACTTCAACAACACGCACAATATGATAAATTCGTTTCGCTTGTTGTATGGTCTGATGAAGCGTGTTTTCAGCAACGTTTCAGTGTCGACGTTTGGTATATCATTTTCAACAATAATTTACTGCCTGTAAATGTTTTAAATGATCGTTTAAATGCAGATCTGTATAGTACTTTCTTGGAAAACAACCTTTTTAAATTCATTGATGACGTAGAGCATAATTTGTTTAAAATATGTGGTATCAGCAGGATGGTGCACCGCAACATAGAGATGTACTAGACAGATGCAAAGGAGGGAACACCCAAAATAATAATGAAAGCTTGCTCTGGCACCTCCACAATGGCTTAAAAACTGTTAAATTTGCTAATCCTCTTGGTGTTTTGATTTTCACTGTTGGTTTTCAATTTATTTTGAAAATGCTCCGAGTAATGGAAGTCATCATAGGTCCTATTGTAAAGGAATATACCGATGAAATAGATGACAACAGAACTTTCTAGTTTAACAGCGTAATTTGTTCATTTCAGGCACTTTAGCTACCGGTATCACTGCAGCAGTGGAGCGCATAAGACGTTCGCATTTCATTATTTTTGTAGGAAAAAAAATTTTAAAGTTTAAAAACACTATATAGAATATCTGTTTTCAAAAAAATTTCAAAAAATCACCTAAATTTTGAGCGGTTCCGTGGCGCCGTGTAAAAACTCGTGGATTTGTTCATAAACTAACTTTAGCAACACTGTATTAACTAGACAACATTTATGTACAATAAAGATTTGTTTCAGGATAGAAAGAAACATAAACAATGTTTTTACAATAATAACAACACTCGTTAATTTATATTATATTAGGATAGTATCCAACATGCTTAATAATTCATTGTGTACACAAAATCTATTGTTTATGAAGTAACTACAGTAGTTTTTATACAGGGTGGTCCGAATTTTATGTAGGAAACTTCGATGACAGATAGATGTCTTTAAAATAATAGGAGTTTGCCTTATAAACATAGGTCTGGAACGGCCTCGGTTTAGAGATACAGGGTGTTAAAGCTGTTAAAAAAAATAATATTTTGTTTATCTCAGGAATCTATTAACCGATCTCAATAAAATTTTGTACAAATAATGTATGATAGTAGGCCTTGCATTTCCTAAAATATGAGCTCTAAAGGTTTAACCAGTGGTGTACAACTGGATAGGGGTCACCCCTTTTTATAAAAAAAACTTACGCCACTGTATTTTTTACAAGTTATTGTAACGGATTTATATTTTAATGCACTAAATACGTAAAAGAGGTGACTTGATTTTTTTCTCTAAGGCTCATCATTTTCAAGTTATTCATACCAATACAGTCCCCTTCTGGCAGACACTTCAAACCACATTACAAAAATATTTATGTTTATGCTTAAAAGTAAGTGCAATTTGTAAGCACATCAACAAAATTCTTTCCATATCATCTGTGAGGTAATATTCCTGGTGTTTTTGTTTTCTCTGGAGGCATTATCTTTACAAATAAGAACAATTTAAATCAAAATAATAATAAAAATGCATTTACCAAACAACAACAACTAAACAAGAAATAAAATTTACGTTACGTATTTACAGCAATTGTTTAAAATGCGAACCACCCACATCGATACATTTCTGACATCTTCTATTAATGGAACTAATTGAAGCTAATATCATGTGGTGGTTTTCTTTTAATTCATTACACCCGTCTTCTTTTCGCTGCAGTAGTTGTGGTCTAGTATCTATTGGAGTAGAGTAAACTTTTCAGGTAGGTCACCCCAAACATAGAAGTCCAGGGAGTTTAGATCTGGCGATCTGGCTGGCCAAGACACTGGACCCTCGGCACCATTATGGTTGACATTGGCATTTGGTCTTCTACCTATCCATCATCTCATATAATTTTCATTAAGCCATTCTTGTATTATTCTCCTAAAATGCGCAGGAGCACCATCCATTTGTATCCAGCTATTTTGTCGTATATTTAATGGAACATCCTCTAATAATTCAAATAGATGGTTTTCTAGAAAGTTTAGAAATGACTCCGAATTTCATGAGGATTTTCTTGTGACCAAATATCCAGATTGTGAAAATTCACTACCCCTCGCCTTGTGAACGTAGCCTCATCGGTCCAAAGTATTTCTAGTAAGAATTCAGACAACCACTGATAAAAATTCAGGCGTCTCTCTGCATCTCCCGGAAGTAAATTTTGCACAGGTTGTAAATGGTACGGATTTCTGCCATCCTTACGTAGAACTTTTCAAATTTTCGATTTACTCATCCCAAGTTGCCGAGACGTTCTCCGTGTACTTACAATTAGCCGAGGATCGTCGTCAAATGCTTTTAAAATTTCATTTCTGTGCAATTGCACTTACTTTTAAGCATAAACATAAATATTCTTGTAATATTATGGTTAGAAGTGTCTGTCACAAGGGGATTGGATCGGTATGAATAACTTGAGAACGGTGAACTTTAGGGAAAAAAATCAAGTTACCTTTTTTACGTATTTTGTGCATTAGAATATAAATCCGTTACAATATATTGTAAAAATACAGTGGCGTAGGTTTTCTTATAAAAAAGGGGGTGACCCTGTGCAGTTGTACACCACTAGTTGAACCTTTAGAGCTCATGTTTTAGGGAATACAAGGTCTACTATCATACATTATATATACTAAATTTTATTGAAATCGGTCAATGGATTCCTGAGATATAAACAAAAATTTAATTTTTTTTAACAACTTCAACATACTGTATCTCTAAAACGAGGCCGTTCCAGACCGTTTATAAGGCAAACACCTACTATTTTAAAGAGAAGTTTCCCGCATAAAATTCGGACCACCCTGTATACATACCAATTAAATATATTATTTAAATTATTAGATTAGCTTTTCAAAAAAGCAGTTTATTTATGACGCCTTTCTTTTAGAATATCCCCTGGTCAAACTACCTATGTTTCTTATAGTAGAGAATCCAAGTCATTAATTTTATAGTGGAGCCTACTTATCGATTTATTATATTGAGATAGTGTCAAGATGTATTCAAATTGCTTATTAGTAGTAATTCACATGTTTATTTACATATTGTTTTATACAAATTACAAGTGTTTTTTTAACTATTTGTATTATAGTATTCATTTTAATTATTAGTCTAAGATGAATACATCACGGATTGAATTTGTTAAATTTATTCTGTAGCTCATTGCCCATTACTGCAAATTACAAAAAAAATAAATAAATGAGTATTCAACAAGGTATTCAAGGATCACGTAAAAGTGCATGTAATGTAAACAAGATAAACATTTTATAAATGGTCATATGCAACATTTGGAAAAATCGTATCATGAAATACATTTTCTCAAAATTTTAGACAACTCAATAAAATTATATTACATAAAATATTTGAAATGTTTAAATTAATGTTAATACAACAAATTATCCACAGTCGGTAAATAGTAAAATAATAGGTATTTACGTTTATTATGTAAATTTATTTATCTGTAGCACAGCTTGAATTTTTAGAATTATCAATACCCGGTTTAGTAACGTGTACCCCTATCTCTGTTGTTACTTACTTGTGAAGCATTTATCGTTTTATTATTTCGTGTTAACACGAAAAGTTTGTTTTAATTACATATTTCTTAGACAATTAAGATCTTTAAGTGGTACGTCATTTAAACAAATAAAATAATAGGTAATTTTTATTTGATTTCAATCTAATGAGATAACAAAAATAATAATACCAAGATAATACCAATTAATTAATTAAAGTTGTAAAATTTTTTATATTGGTACAAACGTGCAAGATTGTTATATTTGATGGAAGCAAATATATAATAAAAAAAACTTGTATTAAAAAACTTTATATACAGGGTGTTACAAATTAGTAGGTCAACCCTTTAATCACATATTTTTTTGTCTAAAATAATGGGACTTTGCTTATGCCACTATTCATTTCGGAACCCCATTTTCAAAATATAGGGTTTTAAAATTAAAATTTTAAAAATTATTTTTATTGACTAAATTGATATCATGTACCTACCCCAAAAAGTTACAATATCTCATAAACGAGGCCCCAAATAAAAATCTTACAAGTG